AAGAATTAAAGCAAATACCTCATCATAAAGTATGCAAGCTAAAAGATAATGCAGCAATATCTTTAAAATGCTGAAAGGAAAATTATCAACCTAAATTTGGTATCCAAAGAAAGTCTTCCAAAATAAAGAAATACTTTCAGACTAACAAAAAAACTGAAAGAATTTACTGTCTACAAACCTGCACTACAAAAAATTAAATAAATAAATAAATAAAATAAAATAAAAAAGTTAAAGGAACCTCTTCACAAAGAAATAAAGTACCAAACAGAAATCTCAATCCACACAAACGGCAACCACCACAAATGAATTAAATTAAGATAAATTAAAAAGGCCTATTTTTTTCTCATTTTTAATAGCTCTAAATGACAGTAGCAAAGTATTATGGGTTTATTAAAAAAAACAGAAATGTGTATAGTAAAAGCACAAAAGAACACAAAGAAGACCTGGGAATATACTTTTTATAGGTTCTTAAAAGTAAAGTGACAAAAAATTGATTGACAGTAAACCAAGATTAAAGATACACAGTGAACAAAAGAACCATTTTAAAAAGTATGAATGATTAAGTAAATTTGAAATATAAAACAATCACAAAAAAGAAATACAAAAATAGGCAGCAAAAGAGGAATGAGGAATCAGAGGGGACAAAAAGAAGATAATTAACAACATGACAAACATATCAATAATTATACTGAATGAAAATAGTCTAAAAACAAAAACACACAATCTTGAAAGTGTATATACATAAGACTCAATCTCCAAAATGTATGAAACATAAACTCATCAGATTCAAAGGAGAAACAAATCCAGGATTATATAGCTGGAGTCTTCAAGATTCCTTATTCAGTATTCAGTGGAACAAGTAGACAGAAAATTAGTGAAGTTACAGAAGATCTGAGCCACTATTAACTAGTTTTTTCTAACTGATATCTAAACCAGGGGAATACACATTCTTTTCATGTATACATTCTTTTAAAGATAAACTATATTCTGCTCATGAAACAAGCTTCAATAAATTCTGTATATTTGTTCTGTATCCCCTGCCCATTAAATAACCTAGAGGGTCTGTACCACAGAACAGGGCCATATGGCCAACCATGGTTTGAGTTTTGGCTCCAGCAGCATGAAAAACACACAGAATGTGTGTGCATGCATGAATGCATACCCAAAACCCTGATGGATGAAGAAATGAAGGAAGAAGGATTGTAACAATTTCACAGCCCATTAGAGCAGTGGCTCTCTCTCTCCCTCTGGCAAATACCTGGGCCCTCTGACAATTTCTTAAAAAATTGAGCTAGAGATCAGTAATAGAAGGCTATCTGGAAAACTCTCAAATATTTGGAAATTAAACAACATACTTCTAAATAACTTAAGTATCAAAGAGGCAGTAAGAAGAGAAATTATAAAATATTTGAATTAATGGAAAATAAAAACATAATGAATCAAAATTTATGGGATGCAGCTAAAGAAGGGCTTAGTGGCAAATTTATGGCATTATTGCCCATATTAGTTAAGAAAGGTGCCATATTAACTACTCTCTGAGATGCTAGAAAAGGAACAAATTACCTCCAGGCTGTGTTGAAGGCAGTAAATATAAATAAAAGTGAAAATTAATAAAATAAAATGCATGGGGAGAAAAAGAGAATAATCAAAATCCATAAATCTATAAATGAGTTCCTAAAAAACAATGATACTAATACCTCTAGCCAAACTGATGATGAAGTAAAATGCAATGCTTTGCAAGGTTGAGCCCACAGGTGCATCTAAGTTAGTGTCTGGAGATCTCCCTGAGTACCTAGGGCATACACGTGCCCATAATCCAAACCTACAAGTAGAGCACAGCATCAAGGCCTTGCTGATGGTGCTGTCTCTCTGCTATCTCTCACTCATGGAAGAAATAAACACACTCTAAAAAAACTTTTTTTCAGGACCAGCAGATGGTATAAAGATTTTATCACTGGACTCCCACTTAGTCAACTGCAGTTCGAGTCCTGGACCCAGAGGCTTAAAATTCATGCTGGGCGCATGTGTATGCATGCCCAAAATCCCAAGAGGAGAATGAAGAAGAAGGGACTACAGCGTGGCCATCCCCCCTGGAGGTGATTTCTCACTTTCTGTCTCTCTGTCTCTCTCTCTCTCTCTCCGGTGAGTACACGTGCCCTATAACAAAAATCTCTCCAAAAAAAATTTTTTTTCTATAACTTCATAATGCTGGTGTTTACAAGACTATATCCACTGTCAAAACTCAGAGATACACTTAAAATGTGTGAATTTTACTGTATGTGAAATAATACCATAATAAACTTCATTAAGGCCACCAAGTTAGTAAATGCATCAGGAATGCATTACTCAAGAAGGTCCAGATTCCATATGGTACTGGTTCAAATTCCAAGCTCAGTAAGCCTGAAACATACTAGTCACATGGGCCAGTGCTCACAATCCCACAGGGTAGGGGGCTGGAGAAAGGGGATCATGGTTTAGCCATATCCTGCAGAGGATGCTTCTCTCTCTCTTTTGCATGTGCTATCATGAATAAGAGAAAAATGTTTAAATAAATAAATTTGATTTTAAAATCTTTTTGATTAATTATGATGATGATGATGATTATGTAAGCCATGTAACAAGATTTTCAAGATATAGAACCACCATTTCTAACCATATTCAATAAAGAGTACTTGACAAAAAAGGCAGAAACATTATTAGTCTCTACACTAAACCAACTGAATCAGAGTCCTATGGGTTGGGCTTAGAACCTTCCTTTTTAAAAAATACCCTGGGCCAATCCCATAACCTGGTTAAGGAAGCTATATTGCACATGGCCAACAGTACTTCAAGTCCCAATCCCAGTGGCTTAAGGGACACTGAAGGCACAGGCATGTGTGTGCCCCAAATCCTCAGAGGATGGAGAAATGGAGGTGAAGGGATAGCACTGTGACCATGCCCAATGTGGTGGTGTCTTTTCCCTCTCTGTCTCTCTCTAGGAAGTACACATACACTCTGTCAATCTAAAATAAAAATTTAAAAAAAAAAAACTAATAATTCTGAAATACAATAAAGTTTGAAAACCTCTTAAGGAGACCAGCAGTTAGTGTAATGGCTACGTCGCTGAACTCTCATGTAGTCGACTGTGGTTCGAGTCCCGGACCCAGCGGCTTAAACTCATGCCAGGTGTGTGTGCATGTGTGCGTGTGTGCATGCGTGCGTGTGTGCGTGCCCAAGATCCTGAGAGGAGAATGGAGGAGAAGGGACTGCAGCATGGCCATCCCCCCTGGGGGGTGATTTCTTGCTTTCTCTGTCTCTCTCTGTCTTTCTGGCAAGCACATGTACCCTATAGCAAAAACCTCTCCAAAAAAAGGAAAAAAAAAAAAAAAGGGAACCAGCAGTTAGCGTAATGGTTATGTTGCTGGACTCCCACATAATCAACCGCGGTTCACGTCCCAGACCTGGTGGCTTAAAACTCACGCCGGGCGCGTGTGCGTGCATGCCCAAGATCCCGAGAGGAGAATGGAGGAGAA